GAAGCCCGCGTTGGCATCAAGTCTCGAAAAGACACTCGAGTTTGCCAACTCTGCCTCGATGTCTTCAATTTTAGGCATTTGGAAATGTTCCCTTTTCAGGCTCTCATTGACGTTCCTAGGGTCCATGCACACTTGCTATTTTCCATCTTTTTGTGCCTACAATAACAAGTGGGCTTACCCAGTCTGATGGCTTGTCCACCTTCGTGATGATTCGAGCAGTTTCCATGCGCTCGAGCTCGTTCTTCAGCGGCTCTCTCAGAAGGTGGGGCACCCTGCGTGCTGCTTGGATGACTGGCTCGGATCCGGGCTTGAGTACCATCTTGTACCTTTTGTTGATGCACCCGAGTCCGTCGAAGAATTCTGGGAAGGTCTCAATTATGTCCTTTGGCACACAAGCCGACACATCGTCAACGCGGTTCACGAGCCCGAAGTATTCACAAGCCGGCAGTCCCAGGAGGGGTCGATGGTGGTCTTGGACGATGAAAAACTGCACTCGTGCTTCCTTGCCACGTAACTTTACAGTGACAACGGCGGTTCCATAGTGGCTGATCACGTTGCCGTTGTAGTCCCGTAACCCTGAGATTACTCTGGTCACTGGAACAGCGTCGTCGATCTGGCGCAGCACCTTCCTCGGTAGCAGATTAGCTTGCGCTCCGGTATCTACCTTTAGGTCAATGGGCTTCCCAGCCACTTGCGCTTGTACCCACCATTCGCCCTTGCTGTCGCAGTTTTGCACTTCCAAGACGTCGAAGTCATGGTCCTCGGGCACGTCGTGCACGCTATCAACAGGAACTTTTGTCTTGCAGCTTGTGGCAGAGTGATTTTTTCCTTTGCATTTGTAGCACTCTTTGCCGTGTGCGGGACACTTCGGTTCGTGCTTCGTGTTACACCGCCCACACTTTCCTGCTTGGCGGGACTGGCGTTGCTTCGACACGACTTCCACGGTCTGCCCCGGACTGTCCCAGGTTTTCCTCTGCTTGGCTGATATTTCTGCCGCCTTACAAAGTTGTACTGCTTTCTCGAGCGTCAACGGGTTTTCGCGTAGCAGTCTTTCTCTCAGCTTCACGTCGGCTGTCCCGTAAACAATTCGGTCTCGAATCATCGATTCGGCCAGAGTTCCAAAGTTGCACGACTGTATACTTTAGCTGTAGGTCTCTGAAGAAACATTCGAACGCTTCGTCTTCGTTCTGCTTGCACGAGCGAAATATATACCTTTCGTAAGTCTCGTTGCAGCGCGGCGTGCAGTAGCTTTCAAATTTTTGCACTAGCGTAGCGTAGCTTTCGCATTCTTCGGTGGAACATTGGAAAGTATTAAAAACTTCCAACGCCTCTGGACCCGCGACGTGTAACAGAATGGCGGCCTTCTGCCTCTCGGAGCGCGGGTTTACTGGCTCGGTGGCTTCGAGGTACAATTCCAATCGCTGCTGGAACTTACGCCAATTCTGGGCGAGGTTGCCCGTCAGCAAGAGTCCCTCCGGAGGTCGAAGTCCGTCCATGGCTTGGTCGCGAAGTCAGCGAAGGATGCGTGGTCGCCGTATCCTACTTCTGACACCATGTATCAGCGCGAGAAGAAGGTTCGCACAGCGGGAGGTCAACTAGTGGCGAATTCGCCTGGTCATTTCCGAGCAAAATATTTTGCCATATCTCCGCCAAGGGCGTTCGCGTGGTCAAAGGCTGGCCAGTGCGCGCCGTTCGGGTGGCAGTTCTCAGGCGTGTGCTGGCAATTTACCGGCACAATTTTGCCCGAGCTCCAAGAGGTCGGGCAGCTTGTCTGCCAGACTGTATCCGGTATCGTCATATCCGAATCGGGAAAGGGAACCAAACGAAACAATGGTCGCCGAGAGCGTGTTCTAGTAGAAAACGAAGCCACTGAGACAGACACCCCTCTGTGGTCCGAGAAAGACAGCAAAAACAACGGAGATAAAGATAAAATATTTTAAAGGAAGCTTCCGCAAGATCAGTTTCCTATGGGACACAACGTGTTATTACACCGCTGTAAAAAATGTATTGATAGTGCTGCAGCTCGACACTTGAACGCGCATTACTATTTTAGAGGGCTGGGTCAAATCAAAATGCTGAGGATTCCAGCAAAAAGGTAATAACAAGAAAATGGAATATAAAATGGCGACGCTGGTGAGCCTTCTAGGATCCTTGTAAGATGGCAACAGTTCCTCGAGAATCTAAACAAAATATATTACAATTTGTTTACCCACATCTCAGAGCCCGAATATATGTTGCTGATGCCTAGAGCGTGCCTATTGTATCATAAAATAATCGTGGAAGAAGTTAACGAAGTTCACGAGCGACCCAGGCAGACGAAAACACCAGTTGCAGGCACTTTGTGTTCGGGTGGGGAGGGTCACGTGGCGCGCAGCTGGCGCGGTTTTCGTTGCCTGTGCCGCCGGCGTGAGCTCACCGGCGATTGACCACCCGAATTCGCCATAGGACTAGCCTCTTTATTATGGCGCCTCTATGATCTGCCCGGGCACGAGCTTGCCCGGCACGAGCTTGGTTCACTGGTGGAGCACGCTCCCGTTACAAGACCTACCACCAACTCCTCGGTCACCGCCTCCAGAGCGACTCCCCGTCCCACTTTTACCCAGACTTCGGCTGACGTGAAGGTGCTGCTCAGAGTCTTCTGGTCGGAAATGCAACGAACAAATCTTGACACCGCTGTCCACGCCTCTACGTAAGACGACGGCGCGCAACCAAATGCTGCGCATTGCTGCATCGGTCGGCAGTGGATGCAAACTAACATCGCCCGATCGACCGCACGTCTTTAGCAGACCTTTCGCGCAACCTACTACTGCACATAAACGCGGCATGATTGGAGAGACACCAGTTCGCAAAGCGAACACGAGACAACGCACAAAACCAAAACCAAAAGTCCGCCGCCCCCGGCGCTCGTACCTTTTTCTTTTGTGTCCATGGTTGCTCGATGCTTTCTACGCGCCCGAGGTAGCAGTGCGGGATGTGTTTCACTAGAGCCACTAAATGAGCTGCGCTTAGAGTATCGGCACTCCGTTCCCCGGCATTGTTGTGGGCGCCGCCATTTTGGCTCGTATGCAGAGCAGACGCAACTGCCGATCGTCATGATTCAAATGTGCGACTTCTTCAGCATTAGATTCGGGTGTGGAAAGGTCACGCAATATTGCTTTGCTCTGTCACGAACTATTTAAACATTTGTGGAGGGCGGAAAGGCATTTTCTGTGATTTCAGATAAAGCTTCAGATAACTGGCAACCATGATTTTACGACACAATATGGCCAAGTGTCGTTACTCTGAAGCGTAGCTTATTTAGTGGCACTACGTTTCACCAGTGACAAACGGAGGGATCGCTTCAGATTATGCTTTTATACACGGCATGAAACCTATTAATTCCCAACTACAACTTCAAAAGATTATCCAACGTTCAAATAAACTTTTTTCATCACATCTCACCACCGAAATCGAAACCAAGAGCGCGTCTATCGTTTGAACCGATCGCCAGACGTGGTGCCCGTTGTCGTCACGCTTCGGCGCAGTTCACCTTTCCGCCGCCGCCTCGGTGGGGACTCAGGCATCGTTCCCGGCGCTATTATTACCGCGCCTGTTTGCTCGATCGGTGCGGCACCCAACCTTCTGTTCGGGCTAGAACTTGGTCAACAGTATCTGAGACGTGGCTGATATCCATTTCAATCGCCGAATAAAACTTCAAAACTGCCTTCATGGTCCCTTGAATGTGAAGTGAATGGGCTCTACATTTTTTTTTTGTACTATTGTTTTCTTGTCATTTCTGAAATTATTAGTTTTTCTCTTGGTTTTTGTCTTTTGCTGATGGATTATTTGTTGTGTCTCTGTTACCATATGTAACACCATGCAGCTTGACGGGCCGAGGGTTGGTCAAGCTGCATTATGCAGCATTTTTCCCCTTTTTCCCTTCATCACACATGTTTTTGACGGAAAATAAACATAATTATTATTAACTGGGGTTAGCCAGCTCAGTTAAAGTCAATGGCTGTTAGCGGCTCAGTGACAGGTGGCGCCGCCGTGCGACAGTTAAAAGCGCCAATGTAACTAGGGTTTAACAATGTAATTATTTCACACCAGGGCGAGACACTGTTTGATGATGTAATTCACTTGCAAGTCTGCTCATTCGTTTTTTTCTCAGGTGTTACGCCGCTAACTTTAGTTTTTATTACCACATATACAGGTCCTCAGTGGAATTGGAACATACAGTGGAGGTAATGAATTTCGATTTTCATGCTTGTGTTTCATGCTTTACAATGCTGTGACAACCTTGACTCTGCTTCCTGTGAAACAGAGCATGGTATTCACCGGATGGATCCACCACTAGAACCACCACACGGACACCACAGGCCCTTTTGTCCGGGCCCCTTCCTACGGCGCATGCTCCAAATTGGCAGGCATAACGAAGCTCTGGCTACACTAAATGCGAAAGCGTGGAGCGCTCTTGGATCGCTGCAAGTCTGCCCAGAGGATTCCCCAAAAAAGGCTCCAAGGTTTCCGGGGTGAAGCCCCTCGGTATGTTTGTATTTGTCTTTAAAGTGCCGTCAAAAATGCCAAGGCACAAGGTCCCTGCCTCGTACAACTCCGGGAAGTAAATGGCGGCACAACACTAAAATGAGCTACCTTTGGAAGGAGATGGCTGCACAGCACTCACTCGATGAACGTTTTTCGCGCGTTCGCAAAACAATACTAGTTGGCACCTCAAGGAAACGCAAAACGTAAATTTTATCAAGGGGCTTTATGCCAGAGAGATGTTCTTCCTCAGCGACAAAAAGAAGACAACAAACAGAAAAAGAAGACGACGACGACAGCACCAGGCTTTGCGAAAACGACGACGACAGGACGTTATTCTTTTGCTCATCTTAGCAAACACGCTGAGACCTTGTACACCTCCATCCCAAACAAGAATTTCTTCTCGGACATTCTTCCCAAGAAGGACGTCTGCGAGCCAATTTTTCGTGGGTAATAACTCACGGAAGCAACGCCCAACAATGGCCCAGTTACCCGACTCTGTTGTGCTGTGCCGACAGGAAGACGACTCCACCACGGAGTTCTCCGTGCCCCGGTCCATTTTGTCGATGGCGAGTCCCTACCTACGGGAAACCGTCCTGGAAACTTCCGGCACTCAGCAGATCAAGCTGCAGTTCAATAACCTCTCCCAGGTATAACTCGGTGGTCCAAACAAAAAAAAAAGGAAAGGAAAAACCGTTCCACTAGCTTGATCATGTCGACAAAGAGAGGGGAGAACAGAATTCATGCGTTGTAAAGGAGTAGGGCACATGCTATGGGAGTCTGACGTAATGTGTCGTCATGAGGTCACATGACCCTGACGTCACATGACCTCATGACGTCACGCGACTTCATGGTGTCATGTAACGTCAGGGCGTCATGTTGCAGCCTATGACGTCAAGGTCACACAAGAAGATAGGCCTTATGGTCTTATTTAGTCTGTCTTTAAACCATGCGTAACACTCAAACCTAATGGTTAAACGTAACGGACATATACGCGTTTTTTTTTTTTTTTTTTGCGTTCTAGCTGTACAACGGAGAAATGTCCTTTCGAAGCAAGCAATACACGGCTTCCCCGTGATGTAATTGTTCAATGTTGGCGGACATTTTGGGATAATTCCTATTTGTTCATGCCGAGAAAATAAAGATTCGGTGATGCTGAACGCGTGCTGCAGCAGTACCACCTAAAAGTCAAGGCCTGAGCTCCCCCCCCCCCCCCCTCTCTTAATGTCATTACTGGATGTATGGATGGATGAAGCTGAACCCTTTGAATCGGGCGGCGCCTTGCGCCGCCTAGCCAGTGCTTTTTTTTTTCTAACTAGTGGATTCACGCAGCGTCGCCTAGCTTGCGTCCACGTCGCCACTAGAGCGTCTCGCGGCGTCTCACAACGCCGCGCGACGCTAGCAAGCGGTGACGCTAAGACGGACGCGACTGCTACTATGCGGCGACTCTTCCTCGAGCTTCGGCGTGTTTTTCCGCTTGCGGCGGGTCGGGGATCCACTAAAGGTGACGTAATGCGCAGGCTTACTCTTCTAGGTGGTATTGGCTAAAGCATATAGGTACACACTCAGCAGCAAGGACACCACTACGGCCGCTGGTGTGACGTCCGTGCAAGCCACGTATTCGTGACTTCAACGACATACAGGGGGCCGCCACTCTCGACAAATATGGCGGCCGCAAACAGATCGTTTTGTATACCAGGCGCCAGTTCATCGCAGAACGCTCGGATTTAAGTGGGCAAGCATTGACTTCACAAAAGTTTGCCCCGATTTTCATTTGCTACCATTCAGTACATGCGGCCGGCGTTTTGGCGTAAACCACTTGCCAGAGGCTCGGCCTTCTTCGGAGAAGCCGTGAAAGCAGCTACCCTACCGCGCCGATGAAAGTTGATAAACGCACAATAGCTTCGCTCGATTCACCTGCACCTCCTGCACTGGTGCAAAAAAGTGTAGGACAGTGTACTTCCGGTATGTGTATTGAGATACGACCGGAAGTACACCGCCTTACACGTTTATGCACCGATGCAGTAGGTGCAGGTGAATCAAACTAATCTAACGTTTGGTTCACGCGGTAGCGTAGGTCGCACTCGGGACGACATGGGCAACACGCTGGTTCGACGGTAAGGATGAAGTCACCAGGACATTTCATCCTACACAACATGAAAAGCAATGCGAGGCACACCTGATTTGTTTGGCCTTTATGAGTCACGGTCTTCCCTGCGGCCCTTTCTTTGTTGCCGTTTCGGTTGTTGCAGACACAACCAACGCAACTTCCCTCGCTTTACTTCGGTGGTAATTGCGCCAACCGCCGACCACATGCAATCACGGGAGCCTCAAGAGGCGATAAAATATCGTGCAAGAACCTGTTTCGGACAGTTCAGTGTTTTCCCGCTAGGTGCCATCCGTTTTGTTGGAGTCAAAAATAAGAAGATACAGCCACCCTCGCCGCGCAGTGGCATCGCGTACAAGCCACTTACTTAAGTGGTCGATGACACTTCATCCACCACTTCAGTTGTATGTATAATAAATATATATGCCCTTATTCCACATCGCAAAAATTACGGAAGTTCTCAGCTTGGTGGAGGACAGCCCTTTCTTATTTAATTAACTCTTCTACGAGGTCGCGTTTCGTTCCCAGGCCTCCTTCGAGGGACTCAAAGTCTACCTGCAGAACGGATCGCCACCGGTGACGTGCTCCAATGTCACGGACCTGTACAGCATCGCGTACAAGCTTAGGCTTCAGCCGCTGGTGACGAGATGCCTGAAGTATCTGGCCGAGGCCGGGCCCGTGGGCCGCCAACTTGTCCTTCTGTGCAACGCGGCTCGTCTCGGACTGAATGACGAAGAGCAGGCCGCCCTGAAGTACCTGGCGGAGCGGTTCGACACCGCCGTACGGAATCGGTTGTTTTTGGAGCTGGACTGCAAGGGTGTCTGCACCTTGCTGAGTTCGGGTGAGAAGCATCAAACGAATTTCACGTTTGTGTGTAGACAGCGTAAGATCGGTCTGACTTTGAGGTGCGGCGGCACTGGCTTGGCGCTGTAGATAAGAAATTTAGCCCGTGCTTCACCACTGCTGAGGGTCTTTACCGTGCATCACGCCGTAGTGATACATGACTGCACACCGGTATGGGGCTCGTCCAGATGGAAAAGGAGAGGGGTTAGGAATGAATGTGAGAAGCATCCGTTTGTGCTCATGCAATAATATGCTCCCTAACACATTTAAAAAGTGTTTCTTTAACAGCAGTATCTACAGACTCCGAACAATGTTGGACGCCTAACCAAAAACGCCGCCAATGCTGTAAGCCTGAAATTTATACAAAACAAAACAAAATAAGTAGTTGATTTAGATTAAACCAAAATGTAATCGATGAAATAAAAACAAAAAGTAGTAGAGCTTGGTATAAATAGCATGAGACAAAAGTTTCCGAAAAACTAAGAGTAACAACACCGGCTGCACACGTGGTTCAGCGGACGTCATCAGTATGCTCTAACCTTCTGTCCTATAGATGTGCACTGGACATGTATGACGCCCGAGAGCCAACGGTTTGCACAACTTGGCTTTCTCGATTTTTCGGGGCTGCAGAAGCCAAAGAACGATTTGGAGAAGCCTAGCTTACTATCATCACTGATAGCTACAGAATGACGTGGCTTATAGTATTCACCCTTCTTGTTCAATGGTTCTTTCCAACATGTTTCTTTTTTTTTCGTCGGCTAACGTCGCAACCCCATTGGCTACGGAGCTATATTAACACAGTAGCAGAGTTTCTGCCGCAGAAAGACTTCCACAAAATTTCGCATTAAATTTGTACTCAAAGTTTATTTAAAGGTGCGATGCAACAATTTTTGCAGTTGGCGCAAATACCGCGTAGAACGAATTCATGACGTTAATGACCTATGAAACACGCGTCCGTTTTTCACCAGACGCAATGAAAGTCGGAGAAAAAAACTTTTAAAAAGCGAGTAGCGTTCACCTGCTCAACTCGCAGCCAGAACAAGAGGCCACGTGATCTGGAGCCGGTTATTTGCCATCAATGTTTATCACAGGACACGCGCCGAGCTCCAGAATTTCTATGGTTCGGCTATTGTCGTCATTGACGCGACTGGACACGGGCCACTACCCAAATGCTTGTCCAGCTATTGATTATCACGAGCCCGAACCGAGCCCTCACGCAATGCTCGGGTCCAATCTTTGAGCCGCATTCAAATATTGTCACTGGGCGGTACTGCGACCGCCCAGCTACGTCATCAAGTTTAGTGAAGGAGAGATTGAACGAGAACGCTCGCCTTTGTTTTTAAAATTACTCCGCAACAAAGGAGTTTCTTGGTCAGTGGCGTTGCGTGCGAGCATACTTGGGTCACACTAGTGTCAGTAAACTCGTGTACAGTAAAAAAAACATTCCAAGCGAATATCGTTGCACGGCCCCTTTAACACTTGCATGTTGGGTGAAGTCAATTGTTAGATCGTTGATTAAAAACAGTGTGTAGGTTGTACTAAACAACCTACCAAGACAGGTAGGTTGTTTAGTAAGAGCGTCTGAATTCGTAATCTACGCGCAAACGTTGAGGAACCCGACGACGAAATGGCTTAAGCTTCCTCGTGCGCTATTTTGTTTCCACACTGCCGCAGATGTCTTAGCCACGGCTTCAGAAACCGGGGTACTTCTAGCCGCATTGACTTGGCTCGAGCATGACTACGAGGCGCGACTCAAGTTCGGAGACGCCGTGCTGGGATGCGTCCGCTTTCCTCTGCTTCCAGAGAACATTCTGTTTGACTGCATGGAGTCGCATCCTTCCGGCCGTCTCACCCTACAGGGCCCTTTCGTCAGAGACAAGCTCATGGAAGCTGTCCTGTGAGTTTCTATCGAGTTCCTTCAGATGAGGGGACAAAAGAAAATCGAGCTTTTAAGCACGCGTGAGTCCTAATGAGCGTATAGCCGAGTGGGTTGAGACCGAGTGCGAGATGGCGTTGAGCGGCTACAACGTGTCGAAGGAGTAACGAAACAGGAGAATTTTTCTGAAGACGCGCAATAGATTATTTTCAAAAGTCCGTCAAGCAAAATTGGCGGTCGCTATTGTTTGGACACAAGGTATCCGAGCCATCGCCGAACACTGACGTAGCCCTTCTGTCCAATATATGCTCAGAGTGCGTGATCGTGGAGTGACGGACAGGCTTGGGCGCAGACTTTTGAAAAGGGTCTATTACGCGTAAATTTTGAGGAGGAGCATGAAAAAAACGATGATGTGGCGTGTGCAGTGCCTCGTTGTGCATCTTAGCATGTGCACTTTGACGTTTTATCAACCTAAAGTCCGCACTACAGAGCCTGGGGCGCCTTTTTGCATGGTACGCTTAGTGGCCCCGTCCTACCTGTGCATCAAAAATGTTACCCAAGTTGCGACAAATGACGTCACTGTAACCGCCGTGTCATGTTGTTGGATCTGACAATCCTAGCGGTCGCTTGTGGAAGTTCCAGCAAAGAGCAAAAAGTTAAACCGAATAAAAAACATTTAAAATACAGGCGAGCTTGTGCATTTTTCTAATTCCAAAGCATTTTTGAGACTACAAACGGATGTGTATGTTTGTGCGTGCGTGTCTGTGTGTGCGTGTTTTTCTTAGCGCAACTTCTTTTTGTTGAAGAGAATCCAGAAGTGTTCTTTTTTTTTTTCTTAAAGTTGTTGTTTCGAATTGGTAAAGTTAAAAAAAGTTTCGTTTCAGTTCTACAATTTGTGTGTGTGTGAGTTGGTTTTTGGATATATATTCGGTCAATGTTGGTCGCAGGTGTAGTGCCAAATGTTCCACAAAACATACACGTTGTTTCGTTAAAATGGAGGGTTTGCCTAAGTTGGTGAGGCTTGTCCTGGCTGTTATTTTTTTTTTTTATTAAGTGAGAAGGCATCCCGCTGTCCTGTTCTGGTAGTTCATTTATGTCTCTTGGTGTATTGCGTCCTAGCAAAGGGCAAGTTGTGTGATTGGTGACCTTGTGGCTGTGAGTGTATAAGGAGAGAGGACTGAATATAACTTAGCTGCGTTTGAGACGTATCTCCTTCCCTGTTTCTGTCCCTTCTAAATTTACGTTTCTATTTCATACCCCAGTCTCGGGTCAAGTTGCAACATGAAACCTATGTCGCTGTCGTCGCGGCGTCCCAACCTGTTGCTTAAAGAAACTTCAAAGAGAAAGGGGAGAAAATTTTCTTTGAGTTTTGAGCTTAAAGTGAGTTGCGGCAGAACAGACGTCTATACCGTGTCCATTTCCGGTGCCCTGCCACAGCCGGGATCACAGCAGACAGCAGCATGAAACTTCTATGACATGTAATCGAGCGGACATCGAAAGACCACATTTGAGGAGATAGTAGTGAGGGTCCCTATAAGTCATCGTTCACACCACAAACGTACTTTTGTTTATACCGTAAAAACCTGCTTTCGACGTGCTGTGCACCCCGATATATAGACCCTTTTCAAAAGTCTATCATGCAACATAGGCGGTCGCCGCTTTTTGGGCACGAAGCAGGGAATGCGGAGTGCAAGTTCGTCTGCTTCTTTTTCAGGGGTTGTGGTTACGTCAGAACGCCGAGGTCTGATTTGCTCTGACTGAAGGATAGTGGGTAGACCTCAGGGCAGCTTGCTTTGAGGTCATCCCCACTGTCCTTCTATCAGAGCCAATCAGAGCTCGGCATCTTTCTGACGTCACCGCAACCCCTGCAAAAGAAACAGACGAACTTGCGCTGCAGATTGGATCCGAGCCCTCGCCGAACGCTGACATATCGTTCGTGTCTAATTCATACTCAGAGCACTTTCCCAAATAATTACCGATTCGAATAATCGGTGCAGCATCTATTAAATAGTGCGAATTTGAAGGGAAAAAAAAGGTCTATTGGAGCACGTAGTAGAGACCTAAAGCGAAAACCGCATGTGTGCTCATAGAGGCCACTCCGGAACAAGTCTGTGCAGAAATTCAGTTGACGAGATCAACGCACTATTGCCTGCATTAAATTTTCCGCGAGTGCCCATAACTTAAGTACAACTCACAAAGAGAGTTGTCCTCGAGTCCACTACATTGCCAACAAGGCAAATAACAATCCACATGTGTATATAGCAGTGGTCTCGAACTCATTTGAGCGTGGGGGCCAGATAGCCCAAACTAGAAAGGTCGAGGGCCAACGCACGTAAAACGGGTGGGGAGGGGGGTGGGGGGTAAAACATTTTAAAGAAGAGAGACCTCGTGCTCTATGTTTTTTGTGAACTCAAAGTTTTGCCACTGACATCTTTAGATTTGGTTCGTCCATATGACTAGTTTGGGCCCTGACCTGATGTGATAACGAGAATTAAAATGACAACGCCCCGCCAACGTGCTGGCATTTTAATAGAACAAGAGAGTGAGTACACTGTAGTTCCCGTAGCTCAAATCACTCAGAAATTTCCCACACTCAACACGTTTATAAAAAAACGATCAGTTAGTTTGGCAGTTCCTTCTTTCCTGATGATTTTGATTGCAACAATCTGAAAAAATACTTGTGTTTTATTGGTAATATTTTTTTCTTGGTATGCGAGCGCAAAAGGAGACAAAGGACACACAAAAAACACGTCGGACAGGGACAGTATTCAACTCGCAACACGGAAAAGAGAACAGATTTGTTGTGAGGTGAACGCTGTTCCTGTCTGACGTGTTTTTGTGTGTCCCTTGTCTCCTGTTGCGTTCGCATACCGAGATGCTTAACCAACACGCTCTCCTAATTCTATCTATGATATTTTTTTTTAAGCTATATCTTAGGCAGTTGCTCCTACTGATCGATAGTTCGGGCAGCCCGAGATACATCTTCCAACGAATAGTTCGCGCTTGCAGCCTAGGAGTGGAATTGTTGTACATTAAAAAAAAAGCTGGGAAGCAAAAAATAAATCGAAACAAAGATAAATCTAACACAGATAAGTGTAAGCTATGTGAACACATTTAAAAAAGCAACACTACTTTTCGAGCAAAAACGAATCGACGAGATGAGATTACCTGCCTTTTCTTGTGCTCGAGACATTGGAACCGGGACTCGTAGCCGGTTGGCCTTCGGACCGTGTTCCAGCGAGTCGCTGGCCGCGTGTTTCAAACCCCTGGATATACTTTCTGTATATTTTTTTGTGAGAAAACCCGTGTAGTTGAAGTTTTACCAAAGTTTCAATTATACGCTTGGTGCCCGTCCTTGTGCGTCTTGGAAAGCAAAATATATGATCACCCTTTTGTTGTTACTTGCTTTAGTTTCTCTCCTTTTTCTGCTTTCTTTCTTTTTTTCTTTCTAAATACCTGTATCATTTTTTTATTAAAAAGCATATTTCCTTAATTATTTTGACTTTCTCGCTTCATCAGTTTCCCGAGCTTTAGGTTAGATGTGAGGTTCAAACCGCTTATCCTCACCTGAATTTCAGGGCTCAAACCTAATCAGAACCACACTCGTGCTTAACACATTACTGTCACGCGTTACTTGTATCCAGTTACATTTTTTCGGTAACAAAGTAACTTTGCAAGAGAAGAATCGAGTAACTCATTTTCGTTACTTTTGGATACGTAACGAGTAATGGCACGTAGTTAATCCCGCGGGAAATGTGTACAGCACCGGGTGCCCATCCTAATTCTCATCCGAGCTCGCTCTTGCTACCTTCACTTCGAAAAATAAAACGCTAGATAGAAAACAAAAATTAGTCATGGTATTTCAGAATAGCTACACTTATCTCCAAATGTACTCTGAGCATGCATTAAAATTCCAGGAATTAATAATGATGCCAAATGTTGAAAGCGGCTACTGCTTCAGGAAAAGGATGCATTCAGAATAATGAGAAGCTAAAGCATTACTTTCGAACTGACATAACGCGTTCCTTTTTATCGTAGTAACGAGTGACGTATACGTATTTGAATTTTCATGCAAGTAAGCAGTAACGATATTCTTCAGATTTTTATTAGAGTAATGTTTAAATACTGAACGACGCTAAAAATATTTAAAACAAACAACGCAGGTTTCACTACGTTACCTCGAGGGGACGTCCAGACCTGGCTCCTGAGGTTCGGTGTCGCACTTTTACGGGCACCGAGCCAGCCCCGCAATCCCTGGGCACGAGATCTCTCCCGGCGAACGCTCACCCCAGGCTAGTGTTCATGAGGCACAGCCTGACCCCAAACCCGGCGTACCAGCCTCTCCCGAGCACCTCGGCCGTGGGCTCGGAGGTCGTTCAGAGAGCAGCTTCGCGCATCAACGACGGTCACTACCGGAAACGGGAACGGGAGGTGAAAGTAGCTCAGGCCAGCGTTAGGGGGTTCCTGGCGCGGAAGCACTACGCCAAGCTTCACGCCAAACCAAAGGTTGGTACAAAGTCCTCGAGGCGGGAAAAAACCTTAATGATGTTTCGTGATCTTTGGGCCGCAGTCAGACTTGTTCATACTTGGTACAGAAGACGTTTGCTGCTGATAGGATGACAAAATTTCCTTAGGACACACTTCAAGTATGTTTGATGCATGTTTGCTTTGTGCATGTGTGTGCTTCAAGAATGGCTGCGGAGTACCGTTTTTATGATACATGAATAGTGTAACCGCGGCTTTATTATCTTTCATTTTTTTTTCTTCTTCTGGAAACGAGATTGTTTGATGCATCATGTGTAACTTTTGTTCTTGTAAATTTGGACAACTGATCTTCACGTCAAATAATATAGGCAGCTCTTTACTAGGTGCACAAAGGAATAGGCTCCCTGGCCGTATATCTCAGTGCCAGACAAAACGAATAAAAGGTTCGTTGCTTCACAGGAACACCGCCGAATTTCATTCTGCCAGCGGGCACACAATTTTGTTTAAGTAGGGTAATGTCAAAATGAGAATAAATTGTATTTGAATGGTAATTTTCATTTTTTATTTAATATTTAATAAGCACAGCAGGAGGGTATTTTTTTTTTAATGTCTTGACTTTATGCCGAATATGCGATCAGCTTTTGCAACAAAAACGCTTGAAACGCGCTGTGTGAGCTCTAGCGCACTCTTCATGAGCCCACTCTTAGCATTTAATGCACTCGATTTATACTGCATGCGGGGCTGCTTCGCTCCAAAGTTCTTTGCATACCAGGCAGTCCCAGTCTCTTGAGGTGTGCATCGCACGATTTTCAGAAAACTCGGACACTACGCGTATCTTCGGAAGATAACTAATAATCTTTTTCCTCGGTTTTATTTGCTTACTTTTTTTTTTTTTTATGGCAGGGGAATTCCGGATTTTAATTGCTTTCGACAACATCAACATTGCCTTGTGGGGAGATGACGTTAGAAAAGTGCTGCTCTCCGGTCTGTTTGTCCTCTTTCTCTGTTGTACGTTAGGTACAGAAGAAATGTTCGTAAAACTTGAAACGTCGCAAAGAACCCGCCTTTTGTAATTCAACCTTTTTTTTTTTTTTTTTGTAGAGCCGTTGTTTTTTACATTTACCGAGTGGTTTGGCTCACCTTTGAATCGCACCCTTTGGTACGACAAAAAAGTGTGGCAGCCACGCGAAGGGAATGACACTGTTTCTTGGCACTTTCAAACGCTTTGTTGATGTCACTTTTGCGCTATGAAGCCCTTGCTGTTTTTCTTTTATACTTTTAGGCGCCCTCCTAGACACCTCGAAAAAAATATGGCTCTGAACGACCCAAGAGACTTGTGCGTTATCTACATGGGCGTCATAGAATGCTAGATTGTCGCATTTTACCCCGGACGTATCCCGCCCCGCAACGTAAATAATTATATCGTTACAAAACACAACCAGACTGCTCATATATTGTCTGCATGGAGCTAATAAAGCATACCAATAAAATTAAAGCTTACATTCACAGAATGGTAGATGTCAACCGTGGTGCGCATCTCGAAGCACATCCTCGCGCTGAATTTCGCGCTTTTTTTGGCGGGGGGTAAGCATGTCAACCTCAACTCCGCATTTATTTTCTTCGTAGCACTCTTGCTGATAGCTCTCAATTTTTACACGTCCAAAGTTTACAGGTGAAGTGAAGTTTAAACGTAGTCTGGTTGCTTGTTTGGAAGATAGATGGCGCTGAACAGAAACTGTCGCATTTTTCCCCGCATCTCATTTTACCTTACCTAACTCTATACATTGCAAGCACGTAACGTCATGGAGACTAACTATTCCTGGATGTCCTGTAAAATGGCACTTTCAAGATTAATTGGAATATACTTTTAAAATATGCCGTCGAAAAGTGATGAGTACGAGCTTTTAAAAATATTCGTAACGTTGGAGTGCCTCTGGTGACATTTTCATAGATATCTTGTCGATTCGTATTATTGTTACTCTCGTCTGCAAGCGTGCCGAACTTCCTTGTTCTAGCTAAAATATTTGGTGAGTATACTACTCACATCATGTTCTTTCATACTTTTTAGCATGTTTGCTTTTTTTAAGATTTGACGTTCTTTGAAGTGTTACAGGGGTGATTAGGAGCGATGAGATCACTCGATAGTGACGTAGAGACCAGTATCACGTGACAAAACCAGGTATTTTCTCTGCTTTGCCTTGATTTTTCGCGTGATTTAACGCGTAGCAGCAGAAACTGTTCGCTAAGTATATTTTGTTTTTGCTATGACGCAAAACGTGCGCACGACAAAACCTAAGAAGAGATCCGAAAACTCCAAGCGAAACGATCGGAAGTATCGTGTAGGTTACGGTGGAGTCCTACGAGGGCTTCATTGCCGCCAACACCGCTCGGATACTTCGCCATGGAGACTAACGAGCACACTTCTACGTGCTCTTCGCGCGCTTTCCAACTTTAAGCAGAAAAAAAAGCATTTGAAAGAACAATTTTCAGTGAGGGCCGCTTAATCTACGGTTCCCAGAAGCAAGGACAACAATCCCACCGAGTTGAGTGGCCATGGTCGTACCAACAGGCAGGGCCTTAGCAAGGCGCCCGTCACTTGCTGCCTACGACCGGCTGTCTTGTTGAATAGAAGATGTTCGCACAACTTTTTTTTTCTAAGTTTACTCTTTCCGTATTGATAACTTGAACCTTGACCTAGATCTTCCGGTTAGAAGGTGAGTTTTATTTTATCGCCGTTTCCTTTGAAGTGTTGTTCGGTGGTGGCGGACGCTCTCGTAGAGTGACAAACTCGTCGATTCTATCTCTTGTTTCTTTTTTTACGTAAAGCTCGACCACTGTATGGATTACCCTAGTAATATCTGGTACCTACACTTAAATATTCGCGTGTGCCTCTGTTGTTCCGAAATGAGGGTGGTACGAACGTCAAGACAGACTGAGCTATAGAACATGGTTCGGTAGTTACGCGGTATCGGACCAACGTTTTCTTTGCCGAACGTCACTTCCAGGGGCTCCGGAAGTCAATTCTGATCGGGGGGGGGGGGGGGGGGGGGGGGGCGGGGGTCAAAGCTCACATCCTTGCAGTGCAGATTCACCCCCCCCCCCCCCCCCCCCCCCCCAACTTTGAAGATTGTACGCGCGGAAAAACCGAAATGGAGGAAGCGACCTTTGTTTAGACCAAATCTTTTCTGAGTAACAAAAAGATCTTCAAAATCTCTAGCACGCAAGAGCGTTTCCGTGGCCTCTCCTGTCACACCGAACAAAAGTACGAAAATGATTGGCGGATGGCAGAAATGCTTTTCGCGTCTAGGCGTTGTGCAGAAACTTCAAGGGGCGCCTTCCATGCTGGACCAGCTCTGAACACTCTCCGGCCATTATGGGATCAGTGCGCTTAATTGGCACGGTATTGGCATGGCCGAGCTTGAAAGAGCCGATCCCAAGCAAAACTTGTCAAAGAGAGTGTGCAGTCCCTCCAAGGACATATGCTCCGGACTGCTGTTCGTCGAAGCGCTCTGCCAGAGACCAATTTCCCGCGACAAGAGGTATTACGTTTGGGGAGGCTTATCCAGAGCCGGAGGGAGGCCTCCTCCCCGCCATCCTTTCCGATGACAAGGAATGGTAGAAAGGTGCCTTTCCTAAGCTTACCCGTCCGGCTGCCAGTGATTAAGATGTGACCAATACGCGCGCCCAGGCTGGCTCAGAAGAAACGCTTACTCCAGCACTTAACAGGTGTATCAACTTTACTACCAATTCTCGTCCCGACAAAACGTCGCTGTCCTTTCTTATTCCGCTTCAAGCTTGGAAGGCGCGGTAGCATGTTGCTCTGACTACATTAAGGGAGGGTTGTGGGTCAGCCTTCAGCGTCGTGGGGGGCATGACCCCTACGAAAAAAACATGAGAAGGGCGGACGCCCCCCCCCCCCCCCCCCCCCCCTGCCTCCCCGGTTCCGGAGCCCCTGGTCACTTCACTATCGAACCCTAAATGTTACCGCAGGAGGTAAATTTATGGTGATGTCGCGCGTGTGTGATATTTCAACACTCGATTAGCTCTCATGGGCCACAGCAGCCTCAAAGCCGCGCGAGCAAACTGAAAAAAAAAACAGGTGATAGGAATGCCTGCTCAGCCATCCTGGCGGTCGATTTCTGTTTGCTTTGTCTAAAAACTAGCCCCGGAAACCACGACGTTCTAGAATCTACCTTTCTGGTCACCTGACAACGACAGACTTTGTCGTCGTCAGTTCGACAGCACGAAGCTGGGTCACAGGGTCTTGTTTCGTAGGTCGCTAGCCATTGTTATCGCGCTGCTTGAGTTTAATTTTTACGAAAAGTACAACCAAAAAGCTAGCTGAAAAGCAACCCAGAACTTACATTCAAATTAGCAAATTAATCATGAATTGCGAACGGCACACTTCAACCTGCATGCTACCAACGAAGCGTAGAATCGGTCACGTGATCCTCGCTACTACGTCACGCCGAGGAGCCGTCAGGTCGCGCCACTCCGTCTTTTTGGGGCTAATACCTACTACAAGAGTGAGAGACGAACTCTAAAGTATCGAGCAGAAAGCATCTACCTTCAGATGTCTTCTCATCTCAGTCCCTTCTCTTTTTCCCATCGTAGCTCAGCGCACTGGGCGCTCTCCACCTGACCGCCTGAAGTCCAGAAGGGCACGTCTTCTTTCGATGCCAGGGAGCAATGGGACGCCGAGCCCGCGCTGCGAGCCTTGCCGCGCATGACGAACCTCAAGGTCCCAGGGACCCTGATTCTCATCAGCGGTGGTCTGGGTCCTAACGAGCGAATCAGCACCAGCTGCTCCCTCCTAGGCTTCACGTCCAAGGACTGCATGCTGTGGCGTTGCGGCAGGCTGCCACAGCCGCGCCAGCTCCACGCGTCCGTGTTCTTGGACGGCCACTTGTACATTCTGGGCGGCTTCGACGTGAGAAACTCCAACGATGGTCTGAGGTTCGCTACCAAGACCTGCTTCAGAATGGCGTTGTCCTCGGGCAAGTGGGAACGGCTTGCTGATATGAGCCACGCTCGCTGTAGCCACGCTGCCGTGGTCGTGGAAGAACGCATCTACGCGGTTGCTGGCCAGAACGAGTTGGGCATGTAAGCAAGGCCTTATAGCCCACTGGAGTTTGGTATTGAACTAGGAAGGGGATGTGAATGGTAGTCACTGGCTACAGGATAGTTGCTTACCTCCTTATTGTCTGCTGAACTGGACATGGGTGTAATATAAAATTCTGCGATGTCGAATAAGACAATCTGAACGGCGAGAGATCTGGAGTTTGCAGTGGGCTAAAAAGTGTAGCATTGCTTGCTTTCAAGGGAGCCCAATTGATGTGCTCGTGCATAATGCTAGATTTCGTGGCACAGTATATTGCATCGAAATGCAGCGCGTCAAAGCTATCAAAACCGAAAAATTGTCTGTCAGAAGTAACGAAAATAGAGTGTATTTTATTTAGGCCAATTATTCTCACGCAAGGAAGATGTCATCTCTAATGAACTGAATGAACCTCGTTAAAATTTGTATATAATATATTTTCTTTTCCGCATTCCGCTTCCGATGCAAAATTAAGGAAGCATATCATCATCACGGTCAGGATCAACCCACCTATACTTGACTATAGTAATCAAAAATTGTTATTTTTGTACTGAAAGCCTACAGGTGACGACTATTTGACTTTTAATACCTTTTTTCGGCGGCAGATCCTACGGTTGATCGGTTTGCAGCGGCACTGAGGTATATGCGTTTCCCGTTTGACTATTATAACTAAATATGCAGCATGTACGCTTATACAATGGGATGATAGTCTGCATCAAGGAGCTTCGTGTCTTAGCTATAGACCCTCGTCCTTACCTACGTAGCTACCAAATCTGTCATGCGGGTTAAAAAAAAAAGCGAGACATTACGACCTGGAAGCAGTAAAAGAATGCACAAGCACACTAGCCAGATTCCAGCCGCAATTGCTGACCTCCTCTTGTCTAACTCAGATGTTGAGCCACTGAAGCGGGCATTGACGAGCCTCCACAGAGGCCAGTTTTGGGGAGGACACGGAAAACTTTAAAATGACACTAATCCGCCCTCCTATGGCAACGATGAAATTAAGTAAACGTAATAAGAGGAAACAAATAACGGAGGTCGGTTATGGCTGCTCCCTAGCACAGCTGCTGCAAAGCTTCTATGAAAGGAGGCAAGAAGGAGAGACAGTCACAATTAAAACGTGAGCTTCTCCTAGTGGTGTGGCGTGAGCAAAACGATGTTTTCCCGCAAACTGGAACTTTCCCGATGCAAGATGACGTCGTCCGCGCAGAAAACGTCTATAAATGGGAAATTTATCCAGTGCAGTAGGAAAGCTAACCCTGGGTCAGAACGTGGCATCACGCGGTATCGACAAAGACCCACAGTGCCACTATACTCTGTTTCACATCAAGTCAGAATGAAGTCAACACCAATGGAGTCATCCAAGTGCACCGTCACGGTTCTGGTCATCGTTGTCAGCTTCCTCTCACTAGCAAAAGAAAATAAAAAAAAAAATGCGTGGCAGATGACGGTGCATTTATTGTGCTCGATCGGTTTGGTCGGCTATAGACCGGCACGATGTTAACAAACAAGCCAGCGTTTTCCCACAAAAGGTGTGGGCACTACACGTGCGCAGAAACCAAATTTGCGCGAACGGAACCTTGTGCGCATGCGCAGTAGCGACAACAGCGCCACCGCAGCGGCGTGACGTCACAGCCGCGTGTTGGTGTAGAGCAAACGCACAAAAACGACGCGCGCCTTGACAATGGACTTTTTTTCGCTGCTTGATCGCGACTTCATCGAATGGTAGCGTCGGCTGTGGTTTAATCTTGAGTGAAGCGGTGTTTAGTCGGCACAGCGGCCAAGCTGAAACTATATAACGTTCGGGCGCAGCTTCCTGAGCTCGGTGGAATGGTACGACCCGGGTTCCGACGTCTGGTCCGAACTGGAGGTGCCCCTGCCTTGCCGGCTGTCGGCCTGCGGCGTGGCCTGCTTTCGGGGCTCGCTTCACGTGGCCGGGGGTCTGGTGCAAACCGCGGAGAGGCAGGATTTCTATCTCATTTCCACGCTGGAGCGCTGGGACGGTCATCGTTGGACCATAGCGGGACCCAACCTGCCATCGGGACGAGGTCTGAATGAATAACAAAATACGAAAACAAATTTGGCGTTCTCGGTTAAACAGGGTAAATGCTTGCAGACTTAACATATTTACGTCTCAACAACGTAAATGCTTGTTGACACGTTTGAGCAGTGTAAATGCTTATCTTTCGACGAAAAACACACACTGACGCCATATATCGGAGATTCGTGGAACGCTTCCTAATCAAGTATATTTCCTTTTTCTTTTTTTTTTTTTCGCGCATCATCAGTGTTTTTTTTTTTTATTGTTTTTTTGCTTTAAAATTTGATGTTTTCTGTTATAACGAGCATTTTTTATTGATCGTACGTACATTTGTTCTCTTCAAATGCCGTAAAATATTTTGTTTTAGTAAAATGCAGTTACAGAGTCACCGGATAGATGGCGCAAGGTGCCACTCTGTTTTCTCGTCGTAAAAAAATGTTTGTAAGGTTTTAAGGCGGATGGTTCTAAATAGTCGCAAGTGTGTGAAGGGGTATGGAAACACTGGTTTACGCTGTAGATGTGCAAGTGTAAACAGACACAGATAAGCTGGTGTATATATACAATAATGTAGTTATAACATGGTAGGAATAAACTACACAACCAGCAGTAATAAAAAGAGGGCTGAGACAGAGTTGCCCACGGTCAACCTTGCTCTTCTTGATATACCTAAGTGAAATGGAAGAATAAATTAGAGCAGAATAATTTAGGCTTTGTTGTGAGTTATAGAGAAGGACGGAGAAATGTATTACGAGAAATTCCAGGACTAATGTATGCAGATGATTTAGTACTCATGGGAGATAACCGCGATACGTTACAGGAACTAACTTTAATATGTGAAGAGGAAGAGAACAGATTGGGCCTGAGTTTTAGTAGGTACAATTGTGGAGTAATGGTATTCAACGACGAGAAAAGGGAACCTCTGAAAATACAAGAGTGAAATAGGCCACGTTGAAAAATACAAATATCTGAGACTATGGCTCAATGAGGGAAGGGAATATCTAAAGAAACATAAAGATGATATTATTGAAAATTGCAAAGAAATGCAGGTATTAGGAAACTCAAGACACTATGGAATTATAATAAATACAATATGGTCAGGGGTATATGAAAAGGAGTGATGGTGCCAGGTCTGTCTTTTGGTAATGGGGTACTGTGCATGGAGGTCAGAGGTTTCATCAGGATTGGAAATTCGACAAAGAAGCGTAGGCGGATTGGCACTGGGAGCACATGAAAATGCATTAAATGAGGTAGCATAAGGGGACATGGGCTGGTTGTCTTCTGAGGGTGAGGAGGCGATTAGTAAGTTAAAGTTTGAACAAAGGTTGACCAAAATGCATGATACCCGGTTGGCACAAAAAAGTATTTCAGTATCCATACGTGAAAATTTTGAACCCAAAAAGTATAAACCGAAACCACAAGCTGACAAATAAATACCTGCACACTAGTGAGGGGGCTCAGCACACTGGTTCAAAGAAAATGGAAGCTAAATAGGCAGAAAGTAAAATATGGAAGGAATGAATGCAATTGAAATCAGCTTTAACAGTGTATAGGTCACAGAGACAGGACATAAGAAAGGAAAATGTGTTTGATAATTCACGTAGAGGTTCTTTTCTGGTTGAGGCAAGAACGGGAGTGTTAAAATGACAAAGACGTATATGCCTAATTTTCAAGAGATAGACGCATTATGTGTCATAATGAAAGTGAGGCGCTAGAGTATTCGGCTTTGAATTGCACGGAGCTTCATCCGCCCTCTCTGAAGGGGTAGCGGATCTGGCGAGGGCGCTGGGTTTTGCTAACGAGGATGGAAGAAGGAAGAAGAAAATGATTACAATAAGAAAGAGGAGGTTAGAAAATCGTGAAAATTATCCAGAAAAAATTGAATGAACTAAAACTAACTAGCACAGCTGGAGACAGGCGGGACAATGTAAAAATGGGGCTCCCACCCGTGTGGCTCCGTCCAAAAGTATTAACCCTGTTTCCCAGTGGGCCGGTGTTGGGGTAGCACCGAATAGGTTTGACCATAGAAACATTGGCGACTCCCTCGCTGGGAGGAAAAGGCGTGGGCTGATGTTTTCAGTTTGTTTGCCCGATCCCCAAAAGGTCATCCTGGCGATATCCGACGCTGCCTGGTTGTAGTTACAGAAATGTAGAGGGAAAGCAGATTGGGTTAGGAAGGCAAGAAGAGCAGTAACGCTTTTGGTTTCTGGGCTAGGTGGCGCAAGCTACGGCTCATTATAAAGGGTACAACCATAAGCATCCATCCATTCATCCGTAAACATTTAGCCAGTGCAATATGACCGCTAGCCTGATGTGTCTAACGCGCAATACGCAGTGGTGAAACACAACAGCTGGCGATATGATGTTCATTGAAATCAAAACGCGGAGAAGGGGGGTGGGGGGGGGGGGGGGGGGGTTAGGTTAGAGTATATGGAAGAATTAACTTCAGTGTAGTTTTGTGGAAACTACAAAAAACTCTCGCGCCATTCGCTGTCCTGATGCAAATTCACACGAGTTCCACGCGTTAGTTCTGGAGCATTATTAGACATGATCAATTGTTTACTCTATGCTCGTTCTATTTATCTGCCCGGTGTTCACTGCCGCGAAACGCCTGCACATCCGGCAGTGTGATTTCAATAGTTACTTGAAGATAGGTTTCTTTCATAAGTGCTCTAAGCTTGGTTTAACAAAGAACACTTCAGCGCAGGCTATGTTATAAAATCAGAGGTGCTCTCTTAGTAAAAAGCGAGTCCATAAACGAAGGCCGAGTGAGAAGTATGTTGAAACTGATCCTGTTCGTTGTTGTTCTTAAAAGGAAATAAACGGGAAGACTTGTATCGACCTTTGTGTAGGTAATACATCCACATGTCTGACCCTGATGTTGTAACGTCATAGACATTAGCTTTCTGTCTAAGCGAGCGAAAGCACTTCATTCGTGTCGTCACCGTCGATCAGAAAGACATGCTTGTTAAAGTATGGCAGAGGTGAGTGACTGAATTTTGCGGTAACTTTTGAAGATGGTAACTGCATTTTAACATTCTTCATATAGCCCGGACGGATCGTCATGTAAAATATAGGCATTTTCAACACTGAAAATACAATAAAACAATACTTCACTAAAGGACGTTATTTTCATACGATGGACCGAACAAAGTAATGGCTGAACGTGATGTCGCAAAACATTTTTTTTTATATTTGTGTTAATTGTTTTTAAGACGTTATGACCAATACATTGACTGCGACGGATACTACTTTGGACAGAAAAGCAGATCAGTGCCTGTAGAGTCACCCAATTAGAAACATCGGTCTAAATATTGTTTTTGGCCCTCATAGAAGAAAATATTAGTAAGTACGGGGGCCATTTCTCTCAATCTGGTCTAGCACTCATAATCATTTTATATCAAGGATATCGCATGTTTTTGCGGGCGCAGAATCTCTGGGGCTTGTGGAGCACGCGGGCAAGCTTTACGCCATCGGAGGCCTTGCCAGAACCAAGGAGGGACAGCTACGGGTCCTGCCGGACGTGCTCATCTACGACGGCCAGGAGGACGTCTGGAGGATAGGGCCATCCCTACCGGAGTCCTTGCACGCCTGCCACGTGGCGTCTCTGGGTACGTTCTCCTTACAAAACTAACGTAACGCCGCTGAAAAAAAAAAGACAATTGCATTGTTATACATTTCTGCGAAGCGTGTGAATTACGCCCAACTTTGCTATCATAGCTATTTGCCCGAATGGCATAGTCAATATTGTAGGCGTCTGCAACAATGGATCTATGTAGGTCCCATGTGGTGATTTTTTGTGTGCACATTCAATAGGCTTAAAGGGAAGCTGAAGAGTTTCTTAAAACCAAAACGGGTTTGAGGGTAATTCTTGCGTATTTTGATCCCGTGAATTCGAACATTACAAGCATTTGACTCAAACGTATCACTAAACGTTAAAAAAGAAACAAAAAAGTGAAAGCCGTTTACAACTCCCTGTAACACCGAATTAGAGCGCAGCTCTTGAGGAGGAGGAGGGAAGGGTACTGGGGGGTGAAGTGACCTGGGGGGGTCACGTGACCTTGGGGGGTCACGTGACGATGCGATGATGTCATCAGTGACGTCACTGATGACGTCATCCGTGGTGATGACGATGACGATGCGGATACCGGTGACGTCATCAGTGACGTCACTGATGACGTCATCAGTGATGATGACGATGACGATGCGGATGCCGGTGAGGTCATCAGTGACGTCACTGATGACGTCATCAGTGACGATGACGATGCGGACTCCGATGACGTCATCAGCGATGATGACGATGACGATGCGGATGTCGGTGACGTCATCAGTGACGTCACTGATGACGTAATTCGTGATGATGACGATGACGATGCGGATGCCGGTGACGTCATCAGTGACGTAACTGATGACGTCATCAGTGATGATGACAATGCGAATGCCGGTGAGGTCATCAGTGACGTCACTGATGACGATGACGAAGCGGATGCCGGTGACGTCATCAGTGACGATGACGTCCTCGGGGAGGTCACGTGACCTCGGCGGGGGGGTCACGTGACCCTGGGGGTGGTCACGTGACCTCGGGGGGACACGTGACTTTAGGTGTCACGTGACCTTGGGGGCCACGTGACCTTGGGGTGACCTTGGGGGTCGCGTGACCTTGAGGTGACCTTGGTTACGCCAACGCCGACGGCGACGCCGACGCCGCTCAAGCCGGGAACGGGCCCCTAAAAGCTGCGCTCTAAGAACTAATTACTGGGCGTGACGTCATACAAAGAAGTTTCGAACTGCCTTGTGAGTGCCGCTTGTGAGGGGACGTGTGCACCTCTTTTGACTGCTCGGGTAAGGTTTGCGGAAGGTACGGTAATGTTACGATTTCTGCGCGACGTCACGTTTCTCTACTTCTACCGAACGTGCCGAGAAGGAGGCAGGGCTTTGGCGCTTTCTTTAAACGCGGTATCGTGGCTACTTGGCATAACAATCTAAAGTATAATTATATTCGTGTTCAAATGAAGATGATACAGGGGCTTTTTTTTTTCTTCTTCTTCTTAAATACAGGACCGCTTCAGTTTCTCTTTAAAGGGTCACTGACAACTCCAACACCGATATATTTTTTTTTATTATTTGTGCAAACGACTTTAGATGATACTAGGGATGGCCCTAATTATATCAAACTTGAAAACCGTGCATTTGCGGGGGAAAAAAAAAATATTTTCAGAAAGCTTGATATGAAACGCTTAGCCGAATCTGTGACGTAGTTAGCGAAATGGTGCACTCCTTGTCTTCTTGGGTGGCTTGTAAAAGCAAGTGTCGTTTAACTTTTGCTCTTTCCCTCTTATCGTGCGTTGGCACGCGCACCTGCCACCTGGCCAACCGCGAGAGTTTTACGCGAGTCCTTTCTTCCCGTGCAGACGAAGCGTCACTTTTTAGATCCTCTTTCTTTTTTTTTTTCTTCTTTTTAGCAGTTTTAGTCGGTCTAAAACGATCTTAAAAAACTAAGAAAAAAAAAACTACGTGTACCAGATCTTGGTGAGCGACCTGTGGGGCGATGTCGCCAAGCCTCTGCGTAAAAAAGTGCCACGCTAAACAACTTTTTCAAAAGATGAAGCAGATAATAATGCGTGGTTGCAATCCCCGAAGAAGAGCTGCAGGGGCCATTCTCATACCCCCTGATCTGTTCTCGCCACTTTGTCGACAAGGACTATGAGAAAAACCCCATGTATACAAATCGTTGGGAGTGTAATTCTGATCACAACTGAAACATTTCGCCGCTCCGACGAACTTTCCGGCATCACTTCATATTGAAGATATTAAAGAAAAAGGTAGGGAGATGGCCGATGTTTTTGTCGCTAACACTTCCGGTTTCTGAGTTTTATTTTGCGAAGTCATCATCATTTTGCGAAGCCTTTACAGTCGTCGTGAAGAACGTATTTTAGAAATGACAATAATTATTATTACAGACACGAAACTTGCGACACCTCCTAACGTTTTCAAAAATGCCTTCGCCAATTACATCACCAAAAAAAGAAGCAAGGAGGAGCTCAACTTTGGGGAAGAGGATAGACATTGACGGGCTCTTTTCAGGCCCAATTTTTTTTTCTTTCTCGACGATCTTTTTTGTGTGCGTTTCGCCAGGCGCTTCCGAAGCCATTGAGACAGCAATAAAGATACCGATACTTTGGGTGGCAGTTGCTTTTTTAAGCAAAATATTTAGACTGGCAATATTGACCCCATGACTTACTAGAGCGATATGTTCACGATTACCATGTACGGAAATTACGTGAGGATTTTGTTCATCTTCAGGAAGTTGGTGTAAAATCCGCAGATGCTAAAACTGTGATTTTAACCTTTGACCGGATAAAATCTTAATTTTAACGTCTCCGGATTTTCTATTACTTTCCTGGAGATGATAAAAATCCTAAATTCATTTCCTGCAGACAGGCACACAGAGAGCAAACAAAGGTAACAAAATCAGATTTTTGTTTTGTATTTCGTAATTATTAATTAGAAATCTTCGAAACTTTTCTTTTAGTTAGATAGTTACTGCGCGTGACCCTTTTATATTTGGGCATCGAAGATGATGGCTCTAAGTTGGAATGTCGATATATACATTCTGAATTGACGATTATAAATCATCAACCCGCAATTTCGCCGATGCATACGGAAAAAAGCGTTGTCTAACTCAAACCTTGATTACACGTCAAAATATACTCAGGTATCTTTAATGCGCCCAGTTTTGAGGGGGCGTGTTAGATATATACTTTCCTAGCGCGCAAACTTTCAAATGGTTACCCTTTTTTCACGAATAAGAACCCAAATGCGACAACACCGGCTTGGACATTGATTCTACTCGATCGTTTACATTTTCGGCCACCAGACGGCAAGTTGACTGTTATGTGTGGCTTCCGGTCACCCCACGGCATGACACATCCTAGCCCGGTGATCCTCCAGCTCCAAGGAAGCCAGTGGATCCCCGTCGCCAGGATCCCCGTGCCCCTTGCCGGCTGCTCCGTCGCGGTGTGCCGATTTGGAGGCCCCGGTTCGAGCGCGCCGCCTTGAAGTTCAGCCAACGGCGCACGAAGTAACACGGCAACAACTGCCTACCTGTGGCGATCTTTCTCGAAGCACGCCAACAATTCCGACATTAATTGCTAAATCCGTGTTACCCTCTAAAGGCCCGTTCACACACTTCCGACCGTTTACGACCGATACGCCTTAAAACCTCTCGTGATCTTTAACGGCTAGAGAACAGCTGGCGCCATCTATTGAGTGGTCGTGGAAACCCTCGCGATTTCCGTATAATTCCTACGTTTATTTCTCGCATAATATTGTTTTTTTTTTTTTGCTCGGAAACATTTGTCAAAGTTAAAAACCATAATTTTTCATACATCGTGTCCACACTCAATCCCACAAATGCAAAAAAAAAACAAAAAAACTTTGCTTTAGTGAAATGTAGTTTTAGGACCTCCTCATAGATGGCGCTAGACTGCTGAGTGTTTACTTGTAAGAGATCATAAAGACTCGGTCATAAGAAAGCGCGAGTGTGTGAACCAGCCCAGAGCCGTTTATCGAGAGAGTTTGGCCATACATTGGTTTGAATAGGCGAGCATCTCAGGGCCAATCACAGGCCGCGAAACAGCCCCTAGCGGTGGTCGTGAGCTTTAAATTTGTTACACGACTAATTCAAGTCCGTTTTAGCGTCGCTAGAGTTAAAAGGTGTAACTCTCAGTGACTGAAAACGCTGTGCGTGCGAGGTTTTCGTCACGCCAATATTCAAGTGTAGAATAAACGAACTTGCGCTCCAAACCAGGGCCAACTTGCTAGAAACAGCGTCTCAGCTGAGACGGTGAAAGAAAGCACTGCCAAAGCCAGCGCACGAGCCGAGCGGGACACCGCGTCTCCAGGACGCTGTTCTAACAAGCGAACATCAGCAGTGCAGAGAAAGGCATGGGCACGAGCGCGTGGCTTTGGAAAGTGGCTCCTACGCACGAGTTCACATACAAACAAAAGCGTTTTGCTGAGCTAGGTTCACGCGCCTGTACCTTTGTCTTCACTGCCGACATTTGGGAGATGAGCAGAGAGGCCGAGATTGAACGCCTCTATTTCACGCTTTGAATGTCGTTTGCAATATTCTGACGTCGCGGTCTCCTGATTGGTCGACGCTGTGTCACAAATTTAGTTTACGCTCTAAGCGCGGGGGGAATATTCGGCGCTGGCGGCGGCCTTTGCTCCGCCTGTTGGCCAAACTCTCCCAATACACGGCTCTGAACCAGCCCTAAGTCCGACAACAACCGACGTCATACGATTCGATTGGGGGCCAATCAAGGTGCGCCAAAACTGCATGGTTACGGCGCTCGTTTCTTTTGTGGGTTCGCTGTCCCCGGCTAAACGAATCACGCACTCTAAATGCCCCCCTGAGCCTGCACTTCTTTTCTTCTCTGCACGTAACTGGTTTAGCCGGTGACGTATGAGCAAAGACGACGAACGCCATAACTATGTTTTTGGTTGTTTCTTTTTTTTTTTTGGCTGGGAATGATTGGTTTTTTCTAAGCTGTCGGTGAGAATATCTCCGATAGTGCGTAAGGCCGCACAAATTTCAAAGAATCGAGAAATTTAGTAGATCGTTCCGACGACTCCGATAACGATACTCGATATTCCGCCGCCTCCGCCGCCGCCGCCTTTGCGCATGCATCGTAGCGTTATCGGGTGTTGTTATCGGGGCCGCCGGAACGGTCTACTAAAACTCTAGAGTAAAATAATGGCTGCACCGCGGCATTATAAAGACGGCGTTGCGAAATTCGTAGCGAATCACCGCTGCCTGGATGTTTTAAAATGTGTTGCGGAGGAACACTTTTTTTTTCTCTCGTTTTTATTGAACGAAGTACGAAGAAAAACTAAGGTGTCACGGACACGTAAAAAAACGCAGGGTGTTGCCAGCACCGGGCATCTTATTTTCGTTCAGCAACCAATAAGATTGAGGCATTCACCGATAAGAACGCCAAAGAGCAAATCACAGAGAAGGAACCACCAACATAATGAGCCTTTACCATGTGCCTCTCAAGTTCTCAGTGACTATAATAGATAGAAACACTGGTTGTACAATAAAATCGTTAAAAAAGCCTCCATTTTTTTCAAGTAGTTGTTGTTGTTATTGTTGTTCTTTTCCGACCCCAACAGCTACGCCGCGTTGAAATAAACCGGGTTTACGACATCCCAAGACATTTACGACTCGAGGAAGTTGGACAAATTAGAATTTGTGGTTGAATTGCGCGACTGTAAATTACTCCGGCGATTTTTTTTTTGTTGTTCTATTCGGTGCTTTACTTTTGCGGTTTCACGTGTTCTTCTTTTTTGTTTTTGTTTTTTTCTCTTGCAAGTGTTGACGGTAGTTGCCGTGAACAATAAACTGCTCTACCTAACCTCAGATTGGCGGGTTTTGGGACAGAGGCTCTGTAAACAAACAAACAAAAAAACAAAAAAAAACGCCGAAGTACGACGAGTCATAAACAGTTTGAAGCTGGGAGTTGTCGAGAAAAACACGGCCGTTCATTTTGACGATTCGGAACAGATTTATATTACCTAACGGGACGAGAACGAAGCTGCGCAATTTGTTCTTGAACAATTTCGCTTCTGAATCCAATAACTTATTGTACGTTCGTTCTCTTGTTGATGTTTTTTTTTTTATTTTTCTATGTATGGTTTTTATTATTAAGTACTGAGAAGAAACGCTTTTACCCTAGTTTAATGGGCATTTAAAAAGCCTTCAAAATCGTCTTCATTAAAAAAACAGAGAATCAGTTCGAAATCTCACCCTTGCGAGTGCCCATCGGTGTTGCTTGTTCGGCGATGAAAGGGACACGTAATAAAGTGCCGAGCTTAAATATCGCTGACTACGCAATAGCATAGGCAGTAAATATAATTATGATGTTATAAACCCTGGCATTGTGAAGCTTCCTTTCCAGTCCCAGGGCGATTAATACGCACCAGCTCATCTGCGCGTTCAACATTTTCTCAATAAATACAAGCCCATCAATATGTACTCCATAATTATTGAATTAACTCATTAATTCGTCAATATATTAGCTAACCCTAGAATCTCCAAGAACAGAAGGCATATATAAGCAAGGTTAACTTTTGAGCATGCGATTTTGTTTTTATAAACAAAAAACCGCTCAGTAACCATTCAAGATGACCGCAGTGGAACTGAAGCGTTCAAGGGCTACTCCGCCGATATTTTTTTTGTCACCCAAACAAACTATATTTTCGGAATCACCGGTCTTTACCCTTTCCGGTATGCTACTTAGTATCGCGAAATTCAAAATAGTCATCAAGAAATTGGCAAGTGAAAACGATGCCAAAATCGACACTCAAATATAACCGCGCTTTTCAGTGCCGCAACGTTAGGGGCAGCCAGAACTGCAGGTCGAGTAGGCAGTCTAAATAGTACACTATTCGGAGCATTTTGTTTTGTGCTGTTGCGCAGGTGCTGGAGCGAGCTTCCAAAGCATTCATTTGACACCGTGAACTGCTCGTAATCAGTGTGGAACTAAGTCGGCACTCAAGAGAGTCAATCCCTGCCTTTCGCTGACGTAACTTTTTGTCATTGTTGCCCATAAAGAGTTTTACTAAAAAGAATATAAAAAAACAGATGAGGAAAAAAATTGCAAATTCAACAATTTCTCAAAAAAAAATATTTTGGCCCAATATTAAGAGTACTACTATAATAATAAATGTTTGTTGGTGTGTTTAGCAAATTGTTCAGACAACTGGGGGACTATGAAGAAAACGGCACAGTACCCCTTTAAGAGTAAACCTCGGTAGTTTATCCGGTGAGACACCCTCACCTAATTCGTCGGTTTATGAAACATCGGAAGTGCCGCGACTTCTTGATGACGTCATTCAGGTGCAATGGCGCATCGCCGTTTAATTTTCCTTCCGCCATCCTCACTCCTGTTATTTATTGTGAATTTTTTTGGGGGGAGGGTGGTTTAGACGGAATTAATTAACGCACAAAAACGGCAAGCGCAATAATGATGCATTTTTGGAGCTGGTTTATTGGCTTAATCGGATCGCAGTATTGGCTGCTGTAGGACCTAATGTGCCAGGCCACGGGGCGTCTGAGAAAAAAAATAGAGAAAATAACTCGTTTGTTATATTTTTCGCGTCGCAAAACAAGGAGCTACGGATCACCGAACACTCAGTTTTAGCCTTAGTGTAGCGCCGGCGGTGGGCGTAAGATTTAAAAGTTTCAAAAGGCCCACCGTTATTTTAATCAAACAATTAGAACCGATTACTCAAACGTTTTGATAAGAAAATGGCGACCAGTGGAGCTCACGGAGAAAAACAGTGAACTTAGTTAAGACGAGACGTGTTTCACTTACAACTCAATAATGGGTCACTTATTTTTTTAATATTTTGTGAGGACATTGAGCGGGGACATTCTGTAAAAGGGTTGATAACTGGGCTAGTTGGTAGTTAGACAGTTTTGTTCCGTGCACTTCAGGCGTGGTATACAAGATTCCACTCTCGTGCGGCAAGATCTACGTAGGTCAAACAGGCAGGTGTCTTAATGACCGACTTCGCGAGCATGATTATTCTTTGAGAGCCACAGTGGGAGGCCATCTTGCAACACATTGCAAAGAGTGCAGGTGTAATCCGCTGTTCGGGGAGACAATAACCCTAGAGAGGCACAAGGATAAAATGACCCGCGAGGTGGTAGAAGCCTTCTACATCATATCCGCAGCTACTAAATGCATTAGTGTTGCATCGGTGGCCTTAACACGCAAGGAGACAGACTTTTTAAAACGGACGATGCAGAACTCGCATGAGTCACGGGTGCCGCGAGACATCAGACACGACGACCCAGCGGCAGCCGACCATGGATGATGTGTTCGTCTTCCCCTCTGACACAGGTGACCAGGCGCGAGCGAAGACTGATGCAAACACACCCTGCACCACGACAACGAAGGCACAGCCAACAAAGGTTTTAGGGTTTAATCAAAGAACCAGTGTATCAAGCCTGTGCGCGCGAGGGAACACCCGACTTTGTGTTTTACAGTCCTGTTTTATATTTCTGCTTCCTCTTCTTCCTTCTTCATCTTTATGGGGAGCTGGACGATGTTCTTTCTTTTCTTCATCTTTGT